TCAAATCAATCCTCAAAAACTAGCATAATTGCGACTCTACTTTTATCTAATCTATGTACTAAAATCTTTTCACGTGTTTCAAGAATCATCAATGAAGCTTCAGAACAGGCATTACTTTATAGTTTACCAATTCAAAGATTTTTCAAAAAGTAATGCTTGTTTGCTTTAACTTTTGCGTTTTTAACTTACCATTTTCTTATAACTTGTTTTTAGCAATTCATATTAGTTGATTTAAATCATTTTTGTATTTGATATATTTGAATTTGATATCTGTCACCCTTTAGTTTCCAAAACCATTTCTTCTAGATCATTTGACCATCTAGATCATTTGAAACTCGCAATTTCGAATTACGCTTGAAATCTTTCAAACAAAATGTTTCCAGCACTCTCGGGCACTTGATCATTTGGATGTGGAAAAAAATTGGAAAAAAGAAATGGGAAAAAGAGACGCTGAAATTGGCCTCCAGTCATTAAAACCCCTTCTCACACACATAAAAATAGAGGCCAAAAAGGGTTGGAAATGAAAAGAAATGCAAAAAGTGAACAGAAAATGAGGAGCTCAAATAATTGGAAGCAGATAGATTTTGGAAGAGAAAAGCCTTGGGTTTGTTGAAAATGAAAAGCTCTGTCTCAAATGCATGTTTCAAAATGCTCAAACCATCGCTGATTTTGAGAAACCAAGTGCTCAAACAAAGCTGTCAAACTCGAAATTAAGGTGCAATTCTTGAAACTTTTGTTGGGTGAATGAGAATCCAAATCTGGTACCAGCTTTGACTTTTTGTGAAAAACTGATGTCAGATTCGGATTATTCATCCCGAAAACCCTAGGTTGCAAATTTTTAGCCATCTTGATTCGTGCCAGACAATGTTACTATCTTGGTTCTCTGTTACTGACAATGTTACTTTCTCCTACTTAGGCTCTGGAAAATCGCTTTCAGACCAGCTCTAGTTGGTCTGAAAACGATTTTCCAGACTTGCCAAACAAGCTAGGCCAGAAGTCTTAGACAAAAATAATGTGGTTGTCAGCGCTCACATCAATTCACTATTGCCCTTTTCTCATTTTCTGCATGTTATCCTTATTGAAAATCGATGTTTCAAGATAGTTTGCAAGCAGAATTTGTCGGAAAGCTTTATTTATGCCAAAATCCATTACTTTCATCAAGTTTAGCTTTGAAATTTTAGGATGGTTTTCCAAAGCAACAGACAAATGAGTTGAAAGACTCGCGTAAAAACGAGATGGCTGATTTTAGACTGAATTTTCCAGAGTTTTTCATGAGTTCTTTTTCTCAAAAATGTTGTGTTTCATTGTTTATAAGGTTGATAGTCGTTCTATTAATTTAATGGTGACATATCTCATTTCATTCAAATTTCATTTAAAACTCTTTTTTCAAAGTACTCAACTTTTTAAAATCAATTTTTATCAATCAAACAATCATTCTTTATCAATATCAATAACCAATAAATCAATTTTTATCAATTATCAATTGATGAGTAGATCCATCGGGTCCATCGGATTCGCTAAACGCCGATTGGCATGCCTAGAAGAAAAATGGATTTGTTGGATTTGAGATAAAGACACCAGTATCACAATAATTGGGAAATCAGAAAAGAAAGAATTAACATTTAGCTGACAAAATTGAAAATTTGAACATTTTCACTTTGGAGCTTATCAGTTGACAAAATCTAGTTTTTTTAATTTAAAGAGAATTTTTAAATAACTTTCAAAAAAGAGGAATTAGTAGTATTGCTGATTCTTCTTAAAAATATTTTGAAACTTTAACTTTCTCATCTTTTTAGGAAGTTTATCGTTTCTAAAACTGGATCTAATAGATCTAAAAGATCTAAAAAAGAATATCCTTCTTCAATATTCAAAGAATATCCTTCTTCAAGCCATTTACCCTAACCTTGAAACTTGTATTTTATTTTTGGAGACTACTGGCTTAATACCTGTTTTCATATCGTGACTGGATCATTTAAAAAATGAATTTGACTAATTAAAGGCTTAGGTCATAGCTTAGAAGAAAGTTTAGAATTTGATTCGATAAAGATATGGATAAAGTGGATAAAAATAAAAGATTAAGCTGTTATGCTAATTTATTAGTCTTTTTAATTTTCATAGTCGGTTATTTTAAGTTATCAATTCAAGATCGAGTCTCAACGATACTTGGGAATGCTTGAGCCACGTTTACTTCCATTTGCGAGCCAAACACTACCTCAAAGATGGCTGTACTACCTGGACAACTAGCCGGTTCACACAAGCAAACTTATGATGGGACCTGTCGGAAGACTCTCGAATGTAGGCCGGGTACGATTTCCGGCCTACATTCGAGCTTTGAAAACCCTTAAAACGCGTATAAGTGGAGGGTTCTACATTTTTTTAGATGTAGCGTAGTTTCAGCCATATTTTTAAAAAAACCAGTTCGATTCGATGCCGGGAAGTAGTTGAAATCGATCTTCAAAGTTGTGACCCAAACTGTGTCAAATCCCATACAAAAATTGAAGGATTTGACACATTTTGCGCCGCAACTTTGACGATCGCTCTCTACCTCTTTAAATGAAGCGTAGAGTCTCAGCTACATTTAAAATAAATATCCAATTAACTCCAGAATTTTTGGTGTGAGGTACAATAGCGTGACTTGCCTTTTCTGTATTCAATCTTTGATGACACTTTAACAATTTTTGTTCGCTTCAATGTGTTTAAAAAAACGAGCTGTTTATCGGTCCTTTTTTGTGAAAATTGATTGAAATGTTTTTGATTTGGTATGCCATTATGCTTTTTGATGATTTTATATAATTTTTATTATTCTTAGATCAGAAACATGGAGAGTAAGAAATGGTTTTGGAAACTAAAGGGTGACAGATATCAAATTCAAATATATCAAATACAAAAATGATTTAAATCAACTAATATGAATTGCTAAAAACAAGTTATAAGAAAATGGTAAGTTAAAAACGCAAAAGTTAAAGCAAACAAGCATTACTTTTTGAAAAATCTTTGAATTGGTAAACTATAAAGTAATGCCTGTTCTGAAGCTTCATTGATGATTCTTGAAACACGTGAAAAGATTTTAGTACATAGATTAGATAAAAGTAGAGTCGCAATTATGCTAGTTTTTGAGGATTGATTTGAATTAAAAGTCAGAGTCAAAACAAGCATCGCTTCGACTTTAATCGTCTCACAAAGAAATGCATCACAAAAGTATCACGCTCGCGAGCGCCGTAAGTTCGCCTGGGTTCTTTGGCCATCAAAAATCTCAAATCATCCACGCAACCACTCTTCTGCTGGGGTGCTTTAATCAAAGAAGCACCATTAATCGCAATCCAGCCCGGAAATCGTACCCGGCCTACATTCGAGAGTCTTCCGACAGGTCCCATCATAAGTTTGCTTGTGTGAACCGGCTAGTTGTCCAGGTAGTACAGCCATCTTTGAGGTAGTGTTTGGCTCGCAAATGGAAGTAAACGTGGCTCAAGCATTCCCAAGTATCGTTGAGACTCGATCTTGAATTGATCGTCTCGAGTGGACCGACCACGTTTCTTGTCATCAAAGAAACTTTTCACGTAAAAACAATCACAATAAAGTTGGACTTAATTGCGCCGATTTGAATCTCTAAATTTCTCAAAAAGATTTACACAATTTGATTCAGTTTGCCCGTTCGGCTCCTTGCACGGCAAGTCGATCGGCCATCTCATTCCCATAAACACCCGGGTGTTTCTCGTAAACAACCTGAAAAATCAGCAAAATGACGGGGTTTCATTCCCAAATAGCTGTTGTGCTAATGTTTAAATATTCATCAACTTCCAAGGTCTTGTTAAAGTTTAAAATAGATATTACCTGAATCAACTCGTCAACTCGCCCAACCTCTTTATCAATTCGGTGTTTTTCACTGGTTCTCCGGAGCCCGTTTACCACCCGAAACCCAAAAATTGTTACTTTGACCATGTTTAAGTTAGTATTAACTTTTAAAACTCACCACGGATGTCCTATCAGGATTCAACTTTTTATAGCTGTTTATTTATTTTTCAAATAGACGCTTCAAATAAGGAAACGGGTGAATTTGTTGAATTGGGGCAAGTAGAAAACGAGAGAATTCGGGAGTTTCGTCACCGGCTCGTAGATCGGATAGTTCTGTGAAAGATTGATTGAAGGCTTCAAATTCCATCCAAATTCTTTTCTTTCATTCCTTTATTTGCTATGGCTGTAGGCTTTGTAGTAAGTTTAAGTAAATGAGTTGGGTATTTAAAGATATTCAGCTGAACACCTTTTATTGCGTGTTTAGCCTGTTGTTTGTTTTCTTGTTTTCCCTCGAAAAACGAGTTTTTCTCTTGAAATTGTGAAAATTTCCCAATAAAATCTCAAATATTTCATAGTAAACATTTAAAAAATGATTCCATCTTTTTTGCTTGCTGTCTTTGCTATTTAATTGGACGAGCAAATTTCCCCTTGACTTCAGTAAATTTGAAACAAAACTTTTTTGGCGATCAAATACTTTTTGATAGAATTGGTCAAAATTGGGTAAAACCGGCATTCTTATGCAATCAAAATTGAAATTTAACAAATCCTTTTCAGACACTTTCAGAATCTGAGGGAAGATGGGGATCCTCGAGATTTCATGGAGGCCTATTTGCGGGAAATGCGGCGACAACCCGAGAATCCGCATTTCAAGTGAGATTTCGCTGAAAATCGGCTTTTGAGGTTATTATTGTTAAACCTTTTCAAATTCAAACCTTCAAAATGAGTGCAGTGATTAAATTTTGTGGCTTGATCGTCTTTTTGAATTAAGTAAAAGCATTCTTTTTAAAAGATCTATCAAATCAATAGAGAAAATAGATGTTTCACTTTAAACCGGCTCAAACTGAGTTTAATCAATCATTGAAAAAACATTTTTAATCTCTTTTGTAAATTTTGGTACTGCAGGGGGAAGGAAATAGAATGGAATAGAATTCTGAAAGGTGATTGGACAAATAATGCTCTGGAAGCTTGATTCCTTTTCAGCAGGCTCAACTAAAATAAAAGAATTGACTTGGCAGCAATAAATTTGATTGAAAACTGGTGAAAAAAATCATGCGATTGGCGAAAATCTTTGCTGAATACCAAAACAAAGACCAAGGCACAGTTTGCAGACGAAACAAGGAGCTTTTAGTTTTACATCAACCACATACAAAAGTACGTCTAGAGGCTAGCGCAAGGATGACATAAATCCACAACTTTGATTTACGCTCATCAAGCCAAAAAAATTCAAATCAATCCACCACTCAAACCTTTAGCTAAGAAACGCCGCCGGCGCTGAACCGTCCATAGGTGGAACTCGTAGTTCCCGCCTTGATCAAATTCAGGCAATCCGCATCGGCCAAGTATAAACTGGCTTTAAACCATTAAAAACTTTCAAAAACAAATGAACTTTAAACGATTTATAGAATTAAGAACGCAAACACAAACAAAGAAAAAAAAATCCAATCTTTAGCACATTTTTCTTTAGCATCCAGGTTTAAAATTGACAATGGCCGCATTGTAGCGTTTTGCTTCTTCAGCCCATTGTGTCGGAAAGTCAACCTAAAGAGAAAGTATAAACATGTTTTGATTGGATAGATATAAAAGTAACTTACTTAAAAGCGGTAGTCAACTTCTCGATAATGTTGTCCCATGAAGGAATGGCTTCGCACGATGGAATATTGAGCATTTGAAAGATGACTTCACGAATGTACGGAGCTTCTGGTCGGCGTCTGAAAATAGAATACCTAAAATACCAATTTTCCAGGTCGACACATCGGACGCCTGGTATTCGTGGCGTTTTTTGAGATCGTTCAACTGAAATTGAAAGAATTAGCTATGGTGTACTTTATGCTCAAAACACACCACTTCTGGAATACTGAATTTTTCATTTTTCTTGAATCAAGTTGTTCTTGTTGGCTTAAGAAAAATGACAAATTTAGTGCACCAGAAAGGGTGAATCTTGGATTTTTAGATATAATTGCAATTGGAAAAAAAGTTTAGTATCTTTTTTCAATACCATGATGACTCATAGTTCCGGTTTCAAACGGTTATCGGAACGAAATTTCAAAAAAAGAAATGAGTCATTGCAAAAGGAAAGGAGAGCTAGGGGAAAAGTGGATAAAGAAAAGATTCGGGGAAATCGGCGAGCAATATAAAGGCACAATTTCGCCCCAGTTTCATCGCTATTTTCATTTTCAAGTGCAAATCTCATAGTAGAATTGAATGGTTATCGTTAGATTAAAGTCTTTCCACTTACCGCACTCTCACTGTTCTCCAAAGCGGTGCTCTTATATTGTAGCTGTTTCTGGAGGTCGTCGTTTCGGCTTTTCGCTAGTTTCAGTCTAAAATTTATGTGTACCCATTAAGATCACCTTTAGAATTCGTTTGAAATTACTCTATAGCCATAGTTATACTGTAAGTCTACCCTAAGCGCTGTAAACTAGACCAGGCCAGGTTACGACTTGGTCTAGCTTACAGCTAACCATCCTTTTAGGTGTGCTTATTGATTGGTATACTTTGTCTCCATCGTATTTATCTCAGCAACAACAGCTTTGTATCTCATCTCCGTCTCACTGTTGGTGTCCTCCAAGTCATCAATCTTATTCCTTAGCTCTTGATTCTCGCGAGCGAAGCGCTTTTCTCTGAAAGTATAGATCTCTTTACAAGAACAAGAGTAAGAGTCTAGCTTTCGTACCTTTAATAACTTATTAGCCTACCTGAGCAACGGTGATGAGACAAATTGTTGCATACTGGGACTCTCAATGGGTGAACTTGATGAACCGGAGAGTTTACTCGGAGTTCGAGGGATCGGAAGCTGAAACGAGATAGAAAGCTAAAACGAGATAGAAAGCCGGTTGTTCGGCGGGAATTCGGCGAAGAAGCGGGGCGAGTGACTGAGCTTTCCTCTTGAGTCACATCACTAAAAAGTGATATCAATTTCTTTGATGAATATCTTAATTCTAATGAGCTGCTGTATCCGTATATCATACTTAAGTTACAATAATTTCAAGGTTTCCGTGTGAACAAGAAAGCTATTGTTCTCAGGAAGTTACAGTACTCCTCTAAGGTTATTGTGCTCACAACTCCCGTACTCTATGAAAAGCTACCGTACTTACAAGAAGTTACTCTATATGGCACAGGTTTGCACAGGGATCATTTTTTAAAAAGATTATTATTTTATAGCTGAAAACGTATGGGGAGAAATTCCGGGACGCCGACGCGGAAATCGAGGAGTTAACGACGAAAATGAGGGCATTGGAAAAGTACAAGAGGTTTGTTTAATCGGAAAAAAAATTCGTTTTCTTAAAACACGTTCCACTTTTCTCTTTCTATCGTAATCTTGTCTCTATTTTTATCGAATATATTCACATTTTTTCTGATTTACAAGAGAGTTCACAAAATGATATCGAAAGATTGAATAAACAAATAAAGTAGAAAGAGAGATGGAGCTTGGTTTAGAAAACGAATTAGAAAAGATACCAACCAGCTATTGCTAAAAAAATTACAGATTGTTTGAAGAAAAGGAAGACGAACTGCAGAATTTGATCGCTGAAAATACCAGCGATCGACGAGCTCGACAATTGGATGCGGAAAAGAAAGTGAGTGTTGAGTATTGGATGTACGTGCTCTAAAGTGTAAAAACACTCCTTCCGGTGCACTTAATCCTTTTGCTTGCTTTAGGAACAACAATATTTGGAAGATTTCCGCCAACAGGAGGAGGCAATGAGGGATTTAAAGGAGAAATTGGACTCCTCCGAGCAATTGCACATCGAACAAATGCAATTGATGGAGATGGAAAGGAAAAAGGAAAGAGAAGCAAGGGATTCACTTCAAGTAGGACATATTATTGATATATTTGTAATGTTATCAATATCAATCAGCAAATGTAAGCAACTTTTTCAGGAGCAAATCAAGAAACTCGAGGCCTTCAACATGCAATTGAAGCAAATGAAAGACAATATAAAAGAGGGAGAGACACTTGAAACGGCAAGGTAGAGCTAGTCTTGTTGGCTTTACACCAAAACACTGAGAAATATTCAGATTGATCGACGAGAATACCGCTCTTCGACGTCAAGTCACCGATTTACAAGAACGGGAACACATTTTACAGGTGATTGCAAAGAAAAATTGAAATGCATTTTCTAAAAAGCAATAATTTTAGACAAACCGTTGTAATCCACCGATTTTTCATTCGATAAACCCCATTTTTGGTCACATTCGATGAGGGAATCACAAGCCTCAGTCAATGTGACTAAAATTAGGTTGATCGAATGAAAAAATGGCGGGCGGAGGGTCTAAAAGAGTTTGTCTTTTAGAAAATGGATTAGCTGAAAGGATTGTTTGATTCTGAAAAGTACAGTACTCGTCAAAAAACCACCAAATTTCAGACGCATCTCTTTGATCATCAACATCTCATCGGCGAGCTGCGCAAAGAGATTCTCGCCCTCGAGGAGCAATGCCAAAAATTCGAGACGTGGAATCGTCAATTGAAAGCATCGCTCGAGAAATCACTAGCTATCGAGGAGCAAAGCAAGGCACAATTCGAGCAAATACTCGCGCTAACGCGATCTTTCGACAAATTGGAGGAAGAGGTCTGTTTGATAAAAGATCGGTCTTACTAGCTAGCCAAAAACATATGCACAACAGAATACCCTTCCCTAAACATTGTTGGCGCGGTAAAACTAAATATGTGATTGCGTGTCGGATAGAGTATTTGATTTATTTGAGCTTTAATCTTTAACATATTCGCAACAATACTGACCATAGGATAACTGGTACTTTCGATGGACCGAATTGGGTTTACTTTTTGTCTACAGTATTCCTATAGGTGTCCAGAATTAAGAATATCTTTACAAAATCGAACAAAATCATATAAAATGTTCATAGAGATCAAAACGCCAAAATGACTTTGTCTCTATTGGATTCTATTGGATCCAGAATAAAGTAAACTTTTTAGAAACACCGCTTGGAGACAAAATTAGTGGCAGAGGAGAAGAAATACTGTGATCTGTTCTTTGAATTGAACAATAACACAAATGAAATCGAAGCTAGAAAAAAAGAAAATCAAGCACTTTTGGAAGAGAATCAAAAGTTGACAAAACAACTACAACAACTTTCAACACCCAGCAGCTGCAAGAGATCAAAGAGGATTTGGAGAGGAAATTGGTGACTGTTGAAAAATACAGTATTTTTAGCCTTAAGCTACGTTAAGTGACAGTCAGATTTATGAGAAATCAGCTGAAATAGGTGAGTCGAGCTCTGATTTGATCGCTAAAATGTGTCACCCTTTTGAGAAACTACCCTAAACTGCTATTTTTGTGTAACAGAGCAATGCGTTACAGAATACAATGATTACTGTACTTTCTAAAACGTGTCCCTTTTCCCTTTCTACCGCTTGATTTTTTATCCAAATCAAGACATTTTGTATATTTCGATATCCTTTGTGAATCCTCATAAGATTAGACAAAAAGTAGATAGATTAGATAAAAATAGAGATAAGATTAAGAAAGAGAACGTGTTTGAAGAAATGGATTTGAGACGAAGAACAATCTCTAATCTTATTCAAAATTTTCAGAGAGATGCTCGTTTCCAATCTGATGAATACATCGCTCGTCTAATCGAAACGCACGAGAAAGAGAAAAATGAATTGCTTGAGGAAATCGAGACACAAAAGAGATTGTCGATTTTTAGGCCATCAGCTATGATTGATGAGAATACGGCTCCACTTGGGGAACCAATTCTCTCACCCACCTCAAAAGGTAAGCTCGCTTTCTAGAAGACATCGTATTTTAGACAAAATACCGTAATCCATTCGCCATTTTTCATTCGATCAGCCAAATTTGAGTCAAATTCGATGAAAGAACCATAAATCATCAGTTAATGTGACGAAAATTAGGCTAATCGAATGGAAACTAGCGAGCGATGGTTACGGTGGTTTCTCTAAAATGAATGCTTTTTAGAAAACACTTGAATCTTGAGCTAATCAGTTCAAATAAAAGATATTCAGCTGAAAGAATTGTAAAGAATTAACGATTCAATTCAGCGATCGAAAACGAAGTCGAACCACGATCGCGACGAGCGATCTCGACTCGTAATCGCTCATTAGCCGTTTTTCCTTCAAACGCCCCTCGCGAGCTCAACTACACACAGGACAAGTACTCACGATTACGCGATTTAGCCTCACGCAACACCATCGCTCAACCACATCTCAAGTTTGTTTTAAAATAAGTTTACAGACGATAAATTTGTTTCTATAAATAGTTTGTATATTACAAAAGAAACAATTACTGAATGTCTTTATTGACAATGACAATTATTGACATTAGCAAATCTTAGTGGGTAGTAAAGAGGCTTTACGGTAACTATAAGATTTTGTCAAGTATTACAGAAGATACAGTATTACTATAGTAATGTACCAACCTTGCTCGAATATTACTCGCATTGGAAATTATGGCTTTTTGTTTGAATTCGAACTTTCCAGAGAATCCTATTTCCTCGAGACGAACTCCCCGAACTCTGAGGCGATTCTCCGCGGGAATGCAATGGTGAAACACGAGCCAATCACTCCAAAACATCATTAGAATATTACAAAATGATTTTCTTGTCTACTTTTTATTCGAATTCTTACGATAAATCCTTCAATATTTACTTATCGCCAAAGTGCATGATCTCTGTGACAAGAACAAGCGAGACGGTAACAAAGCACAGCACTTGCATGGGCCACATTTCTGAAACAATGAGCTAATCATCTGCGTGCAAGGGGGCTAATTTCCTTTAGATAGAAAAGTTTGTATTGGAGGTGACAATGAATTGGATGGTCGATTTAGGACAAAAGAGAGTCAGGAGATTCGAGTTGGATTGCACTCTCACCTTAAGTGACACAATTGTTTACCAAGGTGTAGAATTTGTAGCAAAAATACAGTGAAATTTAAGGCAAAATTGGTCGAAACTTTTAGGTGAACACGGAAAGGACCGATTGTACACGTGGAAAACAAAAATTGACAACGCTAATCTGTAGGTGAGGAGAAAATATTGTAATTTGTTATTAGAAAAATAAAATAAAGTTTTCAACTGTTTGATCGATGAATTTCTGCTTTTTTCAGTTTTTACTTTCATTATTCATTCATTCATACGTTTGTTCGAGGAATGACCAATCGATTTAATCGTTTTAATCATTTTCCCCTTTTGATCGAGCCTGTTTTAAGCTTTATTTGGTGTCTCTGAAAGACCCAGCTAACGTTCATTTGACGCTATTCAACACGAAAATTGTTCTCAAAATAGACTTGAGAGCTCTTCAGATTGTGTTCATAATAATATTTGATTGCAAAGAAAGTTCTCAAGAAAAAGTTTCACTAGAATTTCTTCAAAAAAAGACGATTTGTACATGCCGCCCGAGTGAAAGAGCTGAATTCCTAAAGAACAAAGCTGTAGGAAAAGATTTCGAACTGATCTTTATGATCTAGAGCAAAGGGATCAATTCTAGACAAAATTTTAGTTAACCTATCTTCATAAAGTCAGCATCTTTCCTCAAAATGATATTTATTCGATTGGAAAGAAAATTCTCAAGAAAAAGTTTCACTAGAATTTCTTCAAAAACGAATCCACCAATTCGACAATTTTTTCGATATTTTATTCTATTATTTACAAGTGGACTCCAATAAAATGACATTTGACATTGACATTTGACACTTGACGCTGGCTGACTACAAGAAAAAGTTGTTAAAGACGGAAATTTTCGAATAATTTCAATTGTTAAATCGGAAATTTTGAGTGATACTCTAGTTTCTTTATTTACTTTCATTTACAGTTCATAAATTCATAAACAGAAGTTTTGTCTTCTCTGTACTTTCAAAAATTGCTTACAAATACAAAAAATCCAAGACAAAAATTTTTACGAAGAATTTCCGGAAAAGCGATGGGAATAATGATGGTGGAAACAGAGATGCTGGCTCAGCGCTAACCGCTCCGCTAACCACGTCGCTAACCGCCTTCCCATTTACGGATTCGAAACATCGAAAATGAAATTATTCGAAAATTCGAAAATAAAAATTGTAAAAAGAAATGTGTGCGGCTTTCCGTTAAAATTCTTATTTTCCAGCTTAAATCCAGCTCACTTTTTGCACGAGAGAAACGATTTTTTATGAGGTAAAGGTAGCATAAATCAGCAATACACTCCATAATCTCTATTTTTGACCAAAAATTTCTTTACAGAGGACCCGTATTTCAAAAAAATCCTTTTTGTCATCTTCTGAGTGTTTAGCTAAAATAGGTGATTTTGAAAAGTTAAAAAGCATTAAATCAAATTTGCCTTTATCACAAATTTTCCCTATTTTAAGTAATTGATTTTAGATTTTGAATGGACCAATTGCCTATTCATTAACCCATTAAAAACTTGTCTAAAGGGAGAAGTGATTTGGTCACTTACCAAATCACTTCTCTTCTTCTCCCTTATCCTGCTTGTGTGTTTTGTTTTTTTACATCATCCATCAAATAGTATTTTTTGATAAAATCGCTTTTTTTGTAAATACTTTATTTTCATACAACAAATGCAAGTGGTTTTTGTGATTCATTCATTGAGACTGGCTCTTCTTCTCTTAGCTGAATGTATCTCTCAGAGGAATTGCTTGTTTCCTCGCCCGCTAGCGCGTTGCCGGACTCCATCACGCTCCATCAAACTGCCGGACTCCATTCGTTCAACACAAGCGGATTGATTAAACTGAAAGAAAGTTTGTAGTTAGTTGAATCAAAGTCTTTAGCTGATCTTTTCTAATCTTTAGGAAAAGATTACCTTTCAATGATGTTGGCCACAATCATCCAATAATCATTTGCATATCCAAGTCGACTCACTTCTCGATTCGCAGCACCAAGATCACCGGACAAAACGACAAATTGAGACGATTAAACGAAATGATGGAGGCTCCAAGTGCAAATCGTCCCCCGACTGATTCCAACTGAGTTGAAATCTAGAAATCTGGGAGGAAAGTGCCAAAAAAGAGAAACGGCTGAAAAAGCGGCACCAATTCTTTTTAAGTAATCCCAAAGTATGCAAAATTTCTTCAAGTAAACTTAACCGTTAGTTTTCATCAGCTCCCTTTTTTGACGATTGTATCTTTCGTTCTGCTTTGAATCGACCAGAAATTGAATAGCGACGCAGCGACGCAAGATATGCTCGCATAGCTGCTTTATTTCTTCAATGTTTTTTCACGGGGAGGCTCCCTATTTGGTAATTTGACTGACGTTTTATTCCTTAACAACCATCAAATCTCAAGCACAAACGGTGGAGACGATGCTGAAAAGCAACACTCAAGAATATCAACACAAAGCTGTGCATCTCTGCGATGAAGGAATATGACGTTACAGCCAACTAAAGTGTTATCCAGATTAGCCCATTTGGTGCTTAATGAACAATTCTGAGGTATTAGAAGGCTTGAATTTCTCCAATCTTGTAGTGGCTAGCTTGATTTTTAAGGAAATGGGTTATTTAGTGGGCTAGCTCTAATTTCTTTTTCGTTGTTTTCAATTTCGAATAATGAATAAGATTTCTCTACCCCAAAGTGGGCTTATTTTCTAAAATATGTCAACTGTTGACAACCTTGTTCTTGTTTCTCTAGTTCTTGTTTCTCTAGTTCTTGTTTCTCTAGTTCTTGTTTCTCTAGTTCTTGTTTCTCTAGTTCTTGTTCTCAATCTTCTTCCTCTAGTTCTAGTTCACAATATTCTCTTTGAAGTTCTCTTTCTTTTTCTTTGTAGCATAAAGCAGTGTCGAGAAAAACGTTCAAAGAAAAACTAGACTACGCAACACTCCGCACCGTCAATATGGCGGTGGGGTACTATTACAGTATGTAAGGTTTGTAAATCTCTTTAGTTTAGGTCTTATCTTTGCTAAAGATCTCACTTTGAAATTTCCTCAGGTCGAAGTGAAAAAATTGCCTAAGATGGGTCTCAAGTGCTATAAAGGAAACAAAAATTTGAAGCTGAAGAAAATTGAATGCACTGCAAAACCGGACGATTCTTTTCGTTGTTTTCAATTTCGAATATTGAATTTTCTCTATCCCTTTAATTTTCTCTATTTCTAAAAATTGTTCATCAACCTTGTTCTTCTTCCCCTAGTTCTTGTTCTCAATATTCTCTAGTTCATTTTTACTTCAAAATCCCGCCAAAAGTCTGTGATATGCTTGCCTTTTCCCTTTTTCAAACGCCCGCCAATCTTTTCCCTGATGTGGAGAAAATTTCCGCATTTTTTCGTATCACCATTTTGAAATCTTTTTGTTTCTGGCCATGTTCTAACTTAGATTGAGTAATAGAAGCAAAACAGTTTAAAGAAAATACATTTTTGATTTTGCTTCAGTTTGATCAGTATAGTAAATTATGCCAGATTAACTACATTCTACATTTTGCATACTTTTGGATTACTTAAAAAGAATTGGTGCCGCTTTTTCAGCCGTTTCTCTTTTTTGGCACTTTCCATCCCAAATTTCTTCTAAATGAAATCAGCTCAAAACACAAATAAACCTAACCGCTAGTTTTCATCAGCTCCCTTTTTTGACGATTCTATCTTTCGTTCTGCTTCGAATCAACCAGAAATTGAACAGCGACGCAGCTATTCTTCAAGACCCGCTTTCAAGTTCGCATAGCTGCCCTATTTCCTAAATGTTTTTTAAAAATACAGAGTTCGTACATCTTTCACTTCAAAATCCCGCCAAAAGTCTGTGATATGCCCGCCTTTTTCCCTTTTCGGACGCCCGCCATTCCGGTCGCGTTTGTTATTAATCAAATGCGTTTCGGGGCGTCGCGTGCTCTTCTCTCAATCGGTCTTGCCTCTTTCTGACGAGAAAATTTCCGCATTTTTTCGACATTTTTGAAATCTTTCTGGTTTCTCTCTAAATTTGGTCCTTCTAAATCTATTTCCTTATACTTCCTTCCCTATTCGGTTCTCTCTAAATTTGACTTCTTCCTCACCAACCTTGACTATTATTTGTCTAAATTTGGTTTTTCGCTAATTTTGTTTCCTATTTCTGTAGATTTGGTTTAACTCTAATTTGATTTTTGATCTCACTAAGTTTCTTTATACTTATATCGAGATAAGGAACCAAATCTAGAGAGATAATGAACGAAATTTGGTTCCAATTTCATTTTCAGAGGAGGATGCCGGTTGAAACGCGCGGCCAGAAGCGAAAATGGAAAGCTGAGACAACCATCGAAGATTTACCATTAGAGTTGCTTGAAACGCACGGCCAGAAGCGAAAATGGAAAGCTGAGACAACCATCGAAGATTTACCATTAGAGTTGCTTGAAATGATCGCTTGCCATCTTCCGGTAAAAGGGGTGTTAAAATTGCTGAGAGCGAACAAGAGGCTCTACTCGCTCTATGCGATGGATCAATCAATCGCCTTCGGAAAGCACATCGCCGGGTTTTCCATCCAACTGAGCTGTAATTTTATCAAGAAGTTTCACGACGACGATTCTTTTGAACTGAATGAAACTCTTCGCCCTTTTGTCAAAGGGATCAAATCATGCAGTTCGTTAACATTCAGCCTGCGTCGCGAGGATTACGTGGGTCGTGCACAGCGACGCCGTGACAAACTCCCCGATGTAATATTTTTAGATCAGTTAGAATCCGTTAACCAATTTGTTTTCACAAGCAAAGATTTCGTAGCGCTCTTCGCCAAAGAAAGCCAGACCCTGAGCATTGGAATTAGCTCATCGCTTAAAGCGATACAAAGCCAATTCAGCAAACTAGCCGAAAACGGATGCCAAAAAATCTTGCTCGATATTGAGGATTGTCTTTCTTCCGGCGAAGAACTCTTTCCTATCTTTCAAGAGATTCTGAAGAAAATCCGAGTCAAAGAGATTTCAATCAGGGCTTCTTATCCCCAATTTGATCAGATCGTCCGCTGCATTGTCAATCAAGGAATTCCAACTAAGCATTCTGAAGGCGTGATTCGCATTTTCAGGATTTATGCGATTAGGATGGGATTTTGGCATTTCATTAACAGGCGAGAGAGTTTTTTTGCAACGACTCCAGGACTAGAAAGAATCGATGAACAAGATTCCAGGACTAGAAAGAATCACCGATTACTCATTTCTCGCGCAAACCAGCATTTGAAAGCAAGTTCGCTTCCAAAGGGCTTTCTTGGCTCTGATTTGTTCAGCAGAAAAAGTTTGTACGTTCGTACCCAAGCCGATCCAAAGACGGTTTGCCTCTACCAGAATTGGATCAACTCGGATGAATTTTTTGCTTTCCAGACGTTGCATTCATAAAAAAATGGTCGAAAAATTAGAAGACTGAAATTTAAAATTTTATAATATAATTTTATAATTAGATTTATTTTTTGTCGTTTTTTGTTATTGAATAAGGAAACCTTGCAAATTTATTCCGCTAAATAAAATTTTATATTACGCAGTTCAAATTAGAGAGCCAAATAACATTCGGGCTTCTCTGTGCAGACTTTTGCTTTCTTGTCCTCTCCGGCCACATTTTGCACAACGCCTCTTGCCTTTTTGTCTTGCTTTGCTTGTTTTAAACTTCTTACAATTGACCCCTGTGACAATTTTCCCCGAAATATCATTTCAGAGCAATAGCTCTTCTTTGATTGATATCTTTTCTCGGCAATTGATATCTTTTTTCCTTTTCCCAAATTTCTTTCTGGCGATTCTTTTATTCTCAAGTTCTCTTCAACATTTCTAGTGCCTAAATGCCGATCCATTCGGAGCATCTCTCTCAGTTAAGCTTCTTGATGTTCCCGTGGTGTACTCCTGGAGGGCTTTCTGCTTGTAAACCAACGGTAGATCGATTGAGGTCGATCACTTTCGATTTGAAAACTGTAAACCATTGTTGCCACGACCTCGAGTCTCCGTCGTATCTCCCGAATCTCTCAGATCTCTCTTTCGTTCTGAATCGTTCTGAAAATTTGGAGATAAGCTTCATCTTTGATTCTCCACCCTTTTCCGCCAACATGGGTTTCTTTTGAAGAAAGTGCTCAAACTGCCACATAGGACAATAGCACACAGCTTTCAATTTTCGTCAAGATTGCATCGGACAGGGATCGAACCAAAGATCGAACCCCGAGCCTAAATGATAGAGAGATATGAAGACAGACAGCCAGACAGATGATAATCAGTAGGATGTTTGCTTTTCTAGATTTCAACTCAGTTGGAATCAGTCGGGGGACGATTTGCACTTGGAGCCTCCATCATTTCGTTTAATCGTCTCAATTTGTCGTTTTGTCCGGTGATCTTGGTGCTGCGAATCGAGAAGTGAGTCGACTTGGATATGCAAATGATTATTGGATGATTGTGGCCAACATCATTGCCACATTTTACTATGATTATGAAAGTGAAAGGTAATCTTTTCCTAAAGATTAGAAAAGATCAGCTAAAGACTTTGATTCAACTAACTACAAACTTTCTTTCAGTTTAATCAATCCGCTTGTGTTGAACGAATGGAGTCCGGCAGTTTGATGGAGCGTGATGGAGTCCGGCAACGCGCTAGCGGGCGAGGAAACAAGCAATTCCTCTGAGAGATACATTCAGCTAAGAGAAGAAGAGCCAGTCTCAATGAATGAATCACAAAAACCACTTGCATTTGTTGTATGAAAATAAAGTATTTACAAAAAAAGCGATTTTATCAAAAAATACTATTTGATGGATGATGTAAAAAAACAAAACACACAAGCAGCAGAAAAGAAAGAAAGGCAAAAGAGAAAGGAATTGCAGTATTTTTTCTATTAGTGCACCCAAAGTCTTAAAGAAAACGAAAAAAAAGTGTTATCAAGAATTAGTCAGAGTCGGGTCGTTGAAAAACAGATTGAGCTATGGTACTTCATTCGACCAAGATCGGTCCTCAAATTTTACAGGATTTGGTCGACTCGATGCCAAGAAGGATTCAAGCAATAATTTCATCAAAAGGAGGCCCTACCAAATATTAAAATACTCGGTTTTTTTCTCACTTTTTGTTCGAGGGGTAAAGACTTTTGTCCACCTGTTTTGAGGGTTTTTTTTGTTAACGTCGTTCTTTGTTGCCTTGTTTCTTTTGGTTATGGGATATAAAAACTAGAGTAAAAATGCTACAAAATACTCTCGAAAACTCTCGACTATAAATTGCTGAGCTGAATAACTGTTTGATGAATTTCTGCTTTTTTCAGTTTTTACTTTCATTATTCATTCATTCATACGTTTGTTCGAGGAATGACCAATCGATTTAATCGTTTTAATCATTTTCCCCTTTTGACCGAGCCTGTTTTAAGCTTTATTTGGTGTCTCTGAAAGACCCAGCTAACGTTCATTTGACGCTATTCATTTCACAGTCTTTTTCAACTTGTTTTGGTTGGGTTTCTTGCAGACGAATCGCGGGATCGGTGTCGGCCATCGATCATCGTTCGCACCCCAACCGGCCACCCGGCAAGAGTAGTCATTCGTTATCTGAAATTTGATTTAAATCTTATCTAGAGTGTGCACTTTGTGCTCGAACTTGTAAACACACCAACTGAATTCTTCATTTCAAAGAGCTCTGGTGCACCGCTGAGTGCACCAAAAAGGATGCGTTTACAAGAGCATAAAGTACAATCGACTGTCTTTTAACCGTCAATGTCATTGCTTTGTCCATCGGCTCTCCCCAGGAACTCCAATCGAACGGTGTCCCATCAGTCCACTGCTCGGTCGGTTTACCCAAACCGCGAAAGCCGAGATAAGTCCAAATCCAATAGCACGGATCTTTCTGTGGTGGGCAGAAGTCGTCGTTCAAGAAAACGTTTGTTCAAATGAGCGCTGAAAGTGATTACCCTGGTCAAAAAGAGATTCTACAGTGCCTAGCTACCGTATACTGTATACTTAAAGTTTTACTTACAGTGCCGTATATCTACCGAAGTCTGATCAACAGCAACTGTACTAAAGGATTTATCGAACACACTCACTCGACACAAAATCGTTCTCCTCTTTCGAGTGAATCGATGCGAGATGTGCACCAGCGTTCACGCAAAGCTTCTCCGCGTCAGGCCAGAGGTAAAGCGTAAATTGGCCTCATCAGCGGCGGTGAAATTCTGTAAACTTGCCCTCTTAAAAACGCATGCTCCCTAGCGCACTCAGTTATTTTAAAGTGTGCCAGAAGACGCGCGTTTATTGAAGCACAAAGTACGAGCATTTTTTTAAATGAGATTGATTGACAAACCTGCAAATAATAACACGAATCAGTGGCCTCGAAGTAGTTCCAGTTGTTCGGACATTGGAACACTGAAATCGGGGCTTTTGATCGAATCCAATTCAAAAAAGGAAAAAGCTATTTCGTTGATTAACAGTTGATTTTTTGAGAGGAATTGAAATAAAATCAATAAAATCAATAAAATCAATACAATGAATACAATCCCCATCAACTCCAATGAATACAATGAATACAAATTTCATTTTTTCCTATTGAAATTTTTGTAGATTAAATAAAAGTTAGAGAGAGAAGAAATCACGTGAAAGCCGGCACTCAACGGTTAACAAAGAAGCAAAGAAAGCATTCAAAGATGAACATTAAAGTTTCCCATAATGCAAAATGATTCTTTTATGAGGTTGTGGCGAATTGCCGCTGCTCTGCAGTAAGTCAAAATTCAATAAATGAGTTTCAAAGTTAATGGATAAACTACCGTAATCAGTCACTAGACGATATGCAGTTGTCCGTTTGTCGTAGCTTGTGTACTTAAAAACCCATTATTTAAGCTTTATCTTGAGTGAGCTGTGTGCTCCCTTTTTCTATTTATCCTGGCGGAATGGGAATAGGAGCACGAAGTTTTTCCTCGAAAAGTATTGCGATTGTCGACGTAATCCACCAGCTTAACGCTTGTTAATAAACGCTAGTTACTTGTAAAACCGCTTGTAAAACGAGTTACTTTACTCTACTTAAAGAATCGTTAAAATTTCAAAATTAAAAATTACTTTCCCTTATTGTTTTTCCTTGCCTTTTCCCACCCTTTCTCATACTCATTCTCCATTTCCCCCGTTCGATTTCCCTTCGCTATTCAACGAGGCGGAGTGACGATACATGAAGAAGGCGATATGATTGTTAGATTTGTATAGGTTTGTATTTAAGGAACAGTTATTTAGATACAAATTAGCAGATAAAGGTGCTCCAGAGCAGATAAAGGTGCTCCAAAAAAAGTCAAAGATACTAAGTTTGTTGTTGAGCTATATTTCATTTATTTAGTACCTTGTTGACTCGCTGTGTCAAGTACAACTCAACAAGGAATTCCAGACGACCGATTGGCGTGTTAGGTCTGAAAAACCTTGGGGTTTATGTTATTCCTTTTATTTTTAGACCACTCCCCGAAGAAATGATGCACTACGCCCGGGAGGACACTCACTATTTACTCTACTGCTATGATCTGCTACGGGAAAGACTTTTTCAGTGTGAGTGATTGTGGAAATCTCTCAATTAGTGATCTTTTTAGCTGGAAACGAAAGGACGAACAATTTACTGGAAGACGTTTACAGGGACTCCAAGGAGATTTGAAGTTTGAAGTTTGAACGTTTGAAGCTCATATCTCGTAATTGTCGCCAAGTTTTGGTAGAGCGTTCAAGCCGGCAATTGTAGAAATTGCTAAAAATGCAACGTTTACTTGCCTTTTTAAAAATTTGTTCATGAAAACTTTCTGCCAGCGAACAATCTCACAATTTAATCTGATAACTTCAAATCAGCCTCTTTTTTGTTGCTCATCTTGATTGGATGAGCTGGGTTGAGCATCGGAAGCGGTTGCTTCATCACTTTCCATTTTCCTATCTAAATTTCATTCATAAAATCCATTTAGCAAGCAAAGAGTAACAAAAATGAAAAATTGCCTTGAAAAATCTAACAACTTCACGAAGAGCAACAAATTGGCCTATAACTGAAACATTAAAGAAATCGTGCTATTGTGATCCAAGAGATCCAAAAGATCAATTTCGAGATGTGGAGACTAGTTAAATCAAAAATGGCTAAAATCCTAAACAAAGTGAAACCCATAAGTTGACTACTTGATTTTAAGGGGAACCTACCAAAAAGGAAATGGATTCAACTTTCAATGAATAGCTAGCATCTGACTATCAATTACGTAAAGCAATGGTTGAGTTGATTGAAGAAAACCTAGAAATCTCCCAAAGAGACTTTCTTCAAAGACAAATTTTGAGCGAATAACGGGAAATTGATCGATTTGGTGATGAAAAACGTGAAGAAATCGTTGAAATCCAGTAGCCGAAGACTTGTAGAAGATTTTTGAGAGGTTTGTTCACAAAAAAACGTTAGAATCCCGCATTGAAGGCTTGTAAAGATTTGTTTAATCCAAAAATGTAGAAATCCAATAATCGATCCTCTTTCCTCAATTAGATGTCGAATCCGGCGTCTCGCATGCACTGTTTGTGCGCCTCGATGAATTTCCCGCAGTGTTCCTCACCATTTTGAATGATGCACTCGCCGCGTACGCGTTTCGTGTCTAAATTACACAGTTAGCGCAAGATTTATGTAAAAGAATACAAAAACAAATGTTCTACAGATAAAAACTACCTGGACACGCACAACACGGCTTCAACTTCTTCGGCGCCTCCTTTTCGCCTTTTTTGCTGCTGTTACTTTAAAAATGTTTCAAGAGTGAAATCGTTTCGGAATATCAAATAGATCAACGATGACGTGAAAATTGAGAGAAATTTGACAACTTCGGCAACTTTTTATGCTCTATTAGCTAAAACTAAAGCTTTTGCACAGCTTTGGGGTTAAAAACGCAGAAATATGCCCCTTTCTGCCTCCATCAGACGCCTAAAAGCGGCTCTATCTCGCGCTTTCTGTGCAAAGAGAAGCTCTGATCACAAAATGAACCAAATGATTTATCTAAATGACTAAACTTGCAAGAAAACCGCGTCATTCGGCTAAATACTCATCCAAACATCATTCCTTTGAAATTTAGCATTTTAGCTTGAGCTAAATATCTTAATTCCCTTTATAGGTTATGAAATGTTTTCCTGCTTTTTTTATTTTATGCTCATTTTTCGTTCGTTAGCCATCATGAAGCGTTTGTAAGGATTTTATTCGCCTTTCTACCGATTTTATGCACAAATTGTAACAATCTGACTATTTTCAGCATGGTGGGACTATTCGGAAAGAAAAAGGACCCGAAGGAGCAAGTACGAGAGCTGCAGGTAGGGTTTTTCAATAAATTTGACTTTCTCACCGGTCCTGGGCATGATTTTTTTGGTTTTCTTGGGAAAAACTAATGGCTGGTACTGCAACTATAATCGTTAAGCATGTATGCCACAACTTTGCTGATTCCATTTTATATAACGTTTGTTTTAGAGAAAGATGCGACAAGAGATGAGGACGCTCGACCGTCAAGTTTACAGCATTCAACGTGAGGAACAAAAGGTAAGACAAGTTGTCGGCTACCTAAATAGTGTTTAAAAGAAACTTGTTTAAAGAAAGGCGTTTAAAAGAAACAGAAAACTTTTTTAGTTTAGTAGCTTTATGCAGATTCAACTTTCTGCCAGCAAACGATCTCGCAATCTCACAATAGCTAGCCTTAGCCTTTGTTAGATAAGCTCTTATCATTTAAAAAGCTCTTTAAATCATTAAATCATCATTTTATTGTAAATCAATGGATTACGGTAGTTTAAATAAGAAATAGAATGATAAAATGTAAAAATTTCAGCCCAGCCATCGGCATTCGTCGACCACAATCAGACGCGAGAATGGGTTCGTTTTTTGACAAGGATTTCAAGCAGAAGCTCAAGATAAGCCTTCTGTAGAAACTGGAGATAAGCTTAGTTGCATATGGACGATAGAATTCAAAAAAAATCTTTTTCCCATAAAATTCTCGATTTTCGCATCTGATAAGCCTTCTCCCAATATTCTAACTTTAAGATTCTCCCTCGGGAACATCGCTCCTCCTCATTAGCAATTTTTGAACCTTTTTTGCTCTTATACTAGATATCACCATGGTAAACAAAAAGGAAGTTGTGATTTCAGAGCCTTTTTCTGTTTTTTGCGTAGGCTTTCCAGCATACGACTTCCAGAAAAATCTCCAGAGAGATTACCATTGCCCTCTGCTCCAATGGAAACAAAACCAGATATAAATTGTGTGCAAGACTAAGAGAGATAATGAACCAAATTTAGAGAGTCATTCATTTTTAATTTAAATGCCTAAATTTTTCGTTTTTTTTATTCGTTGAGTTGACTTTTTGACTATTAACCTTGAAAATGAGGAGAAGCACACCTGAAAAGTATCCATTAGCTAGTGTGCATTCCAGAATGGAACTTTGCTTCAGGAATAGAGAAAGATTCAACTAATTCAACTAGTTTGATCTCAAAATCGAGTTACTCAACCAAATGAAAAAAAGTACCCCGAAAAACGCATCCATTAACTAGTGTGCATTCCAGAATGCAACTTTGATTTAGGAATATCGCAACATTCAACAAGTACACGAGATTTCTTTGATGCAATCAATTTGATCTTTTAATTAGCTGAATATCTTTTACACTTGATCTTTAATGCAATGAGCTTATTAAATAGTTTATTTTGAAGATTTATTTAGTTTTTTTTATTCTTTATTCCAGGTGCTCTCCTCGGCCTTTCACAGTCCGTTTTGGGTCCTTCACATCAAGCTCAGCAACAAACAACACAAGAGCAACATCGTCATCGACAAACACATCAATCACAACAACATCGATCAGGTAACTAATTCGTACTTTATACCTCATGTAGGCCAGAATCTTAGGGGTAGATACCGAATTATCTTTTCAATTTTCCTATTCAATAGCTATTTTCAGTCTCCACTGCTCCCGCATTTGTTGTCGCCCTTCCACCGGTGGAAGATCCAGAGAGCTCAGCAGAGCCTGCCACGGTCGACATCGAGTCGATGGAAGAGTTTGTATGCAAATGGGCAACATGCGGGAAAGAGTTCACAACCAAACAGGTAGTGTGTATAGTTATTATTCCCAAAAATCGTCCCAATTCAGCCCTTCTATGATCATGTTAAAACCATTCATGTCAATCCAATTATTGAGTACATTTGTGAGTGGGAAGATTGTAAGAGGTAAGGTCTCAAATATTAGGTGAACAAGCCTTTCCTTCCTTTTTACCTTTCCTTTTCAACAACCTAATAACTCTAAAAGTTTCAAGTGGACTTTAGAAAAAAGAAGCCCTTCGAAGCTAACTACAAGTTGGTGGGTCACGTAAGATAGCACACTGGAGAGAAACCACACAGATGTGAAGTTGTTGGATGTTTAAAGGAATACAGGCGCGTCGGGGATCTCAAAGTCCACAAACGATCTCACACCGGCGAAAAGCCATACAAGTGTACCAGATGTGGAAAGGTATACAATCACTTCAATACAGGTCAATCCATTGTTTCAGGCGTTCAGTAATTATAGTGATCAAGCCAAACACCAAAATCAAACCCATTCAAATGTGGTGAGCTAATAAAGGAAGAATTTAACAAAGTACCACAATTTAGAAGGGTTTCAAGTGTCAATATGAAGGATGTCCGAAGGCTTACACCGATCGAGGAAGCCTCCGCAAGCACTTTAGAGGGAGTCACGGTGATAAGATGAATGAAAAGAAAAAGAAAATGAACAAGTTAATGGAAGCTGGCAAACGATGGCCGAAAAAGGTTTAGAAAAAATACAAAATTAATTTTAACATTTTAATATTATGATTAAGAGCAAGAAGGGTTGTGGCTCAAAATATCGTGAAAGCAACATCAGGCCTGGCTCTGGAGGGCGAGAAGGTGAGACGAGTGCGAAAAATGGAAACGAGAAGCCGATCAGTGGGCTTCGGCTCAACGTTGAAGGATATCTCACTGCTGCTGCAGAATTGGGAGAAAGTTTGTTGCGAAATTATTTCGCAAATCAAAACACTTGATTTCAGTCGCAGAATCGGAAGCAATTGAGCTGGGACTTCCAGAAGGGAGGCGTGAAGGCAATCAAATCTACAGAAGTGCCAACTTCGGGCCGGTTCGTCAAAAAGAACGTTCATTAACAAAGCAGATTTAGCTTTATGAACAAACTGGACGCATGCGGGTTGCTGGCTATGAAGAAGATCAAGACATAGCTGAGGTTGTTAGTGTAAAATCAATCAGTGAGCAAGTTCGAGCCAAACACCAAAACGCCCATTCAGATGAGGTGAGCTAATAAAAGAAGATTTTAACAAAGTACCACAATTTAGAAGCGTTACCTGCGCGGTTATCAAGGATGTCCGAAGGCTTACACCGATGGACAACGATGGACAAATGGCCCTGACTCGGCAGGACCTTCATCGGAATTGGAATAAATTGGAATAAATTTGACTGGAATAAATCTTGGAATACAATGTCCTCAACCAAAGAATCCACTACAAAAACAATCAAGTAGCTTGTCCAACAACACTCTTGGTGGCTATGCTGAACAAATTCCAATTGGTGAAATGCAACTACAGAGAATGCCTCTCCAGCCTGGGCCCAGCAGAGGGCCCGAAAATGGGGTGAGTGAGTTCATATTTAAAGAGTATGAGTTAATAAGGAGCTTGCCTTAAAAAATACGCTTCTCGGGAAAGGGTTTTCATTTCAGCAAAACAATGAAAGAATGAAAATAGCTTACTTTAATTCTTCAGCTTGATTGAATATCTTTAGAAATTGAAGAGTTTAAAAGATATAAAAATAAAAATAAAAAGTCATATTTGACTGTTTTTCTCAATTCTAACTTTATTTTTCCTCATTAAAACAATTCTAGAATGTTAAAGTAGTTTAAAACTGTCAAAGTTTTAAAGTTTTTGCTTTTGTTTTGTCATTTTTGATTGCTTTTGTTTTATTTCAAATCCAAAAAAGCTTTTTGAGTAAACAGATTTTCAAAATATTTAGTGTGAGTTTCAAAGTAATTTAACTTCAAGCTAAAACCTTGAGTTTAATGTACTGGTGCTGGGCCGTCTTTACTTAATTAAAATCGCTTCTTTCTAGCCTCAACTGCTTCTTTCATTACCCTATTAAAACAATTCTTCTGCATTAGAATTGTAAGTTTCAAAGTAATCAACTACAACTCAATTTTGAGTTTAAGGGTTCGTTTTTTTTCGCTTTTTCCATTTCCCCATGAAAACATTGCCGCGTTTGAACGAAGCGTTTACAAATTCGAGCACTTTGTTCAACTTACATGGATTTCTCGTAGCTCTTTCAGGTCGACCCTCAACTGATCCCTTTCTTGCTAAATGAGAGTTTCTCTATAATATATTACTCTAATAGACTCAAAAAGTAAATACTCTAATAGAAGCCCTACAGAAGCGTCGCGGTCCACTCAAACAATCTCAACACAACACAACACTCGAGTATTATCATCTTTTAATAATTTTTTCTAAGCGCTCGTTAATGTTAAAAAGATGTGTTATATTTCAAAAAATCACTTATTTTCTCTCTTCAAATGATACCTAGGCGCATCGAAAAATTTAGGTGTAACAATTATTCTATGAGGCTCTAGAGGCTCTAGATAAGCTCTGGAAGCTCTAGATAAGTTCTAAAGAAGCCCTAGAAAATAGAAGCTAGAAAATAGAAGCAATCAGTAAGGTATTCTTGATTTTTCTAGAGCAGCTATCAACCTGAAAAATGTTTGGAATTTGGGGATAGTATATAATCAGAGTAGGGTGTAAACTTAGTGCCTCAAGAAGCTGAGAAATTCCTTTGAACGAATACTACAAGATTCTAGATGATTTTTGTAGCGAAATGGAAATTTAAAAGCAAAGTTTCAAAGTAAACGACTCTAGCCTTGGCTTTAGCAAGATAATCATGCAAAGATGAGGATGCACTTTGTACTCTCTTAAATCCTGTGAACCCCTTCTGGCAGCACAATTCCCGGTCGCAACTGTTTGGTGCTACGAGGGGAAATGGAAGAATTGAGTGCACCAGAGAGGGGGTGTGTACGGGATTCAAAGTGGGCACAAAGAACACGTCAATGGCCAGCTGTAGGCTGCGGCGTCAATGGCTGAAGTCCAGAATAGACACAATTTGCTGACTTTGCGAACTAAGCTTTGAACAAGGATTTTGTTCTTTATTTTCCATAGAGCAAACCATGATTAGTTGTAATGCTTTTGATTAACTTGACCAAAAGTTGAAACCCAATTATTTATCAATGAACCCAATAATCAATGCACACTCTTCCCCCAATAATCAATGAACACTCTTCCCCATCACCCAGATCAAAGCTCTGTGAATGGGGGACATGCAGCCGTAAAAAGGGATGTTTCCATAGGTTATTTGAGAACTTTATTGTAGCAAATGTCGCGTATAATGTTCTTTAGACAAAAGGACGTCTCTTCCCTTTTATATAAAGTAAATTCATTTTGAAAAGAAAAAGCAAAACTAATTTTCTCGGGGACGAATCCACGACTCCTCTGGGGTAGAATTTCTCTACATTCTACTGTATTCTTTCTATCAGTGCAGCCAAAACCTCGTCTACATTCCTCAAAATCTCGAGAACCTTCTAGATTTAATTGATCGCTTTTTTGGAGGACTTCAACTTACCAAGGTGGCTATTTTATAGTTTATCTTCTAGAAGTGCTTGTCTAGTTTTGCAGATTTCAAACAGATTTCTAGGCAGCCAAATTTGGATCAGAAGCTCAGGACTTGATTTTGTTGAGAAATAAGGTAAAGATCTAGATTCTAGCTTTGCCTAGATGCTTGGTAAAGCCAGCCGACGTAGAGAAGAGAGAAGACGGTGAATCAAATGCCAACCTGTATACGAATTATATGTGAATGATGTCCGGATGGTGTTTGTGATTGATTCGGTGTCTGGGATGGGATTTGCGAGGCTGAATGAGCTGCTGCTGAGGTGGCAAGACTCTGCGCCGGCACCAGGAACATTGGGAGACCCGTTGCCTGCAATTCGAAGTGAAATCGTGATTTATTGAAGTTAGTTTTTCAGTTTTTTTGGATTTTCTTGATTTGGAATCAGCATAAAATTCCCTATGGAAAAGAAACGGCATCTCGAAATTCGATCTGGACGTCAAGGAAAGTGTTTGTGACAGACAGGCAGACGGACAAACAGACAGGCAGACGTTTTTTCTGCTTTAGGAAAAGATTTGTGACCTGTTCATCCGTGCCACCATTCGCTTGCAAATGGCGCGTCGGGATCTCGGTGGAAGATCGGAAAGCATGTAGCGACAGCGGAGAGACGTCTGTAAGTCTTCTTTCTTTAGATTTCTTCATTAAAATCACAGTTTAATCAAAGGAAAAGCTTTTGTTAGAGTTCTAACATCAATTGCGATAATCGAATTATGATAATTGCAATCTCCTGGCACCATTTCGATAATATTAGCTGATCTGTGAGTCAATTTTCACAGCAAAATCGTGTTACAATGTTCTAAAGCCATTGTTAGTCCGTGAAAAACCGAAATACACTCCGAGTGTAAACAAAAACAAAAAAACCCAAGCCCAAAACCCATCGAAATTTCACCGCCAACCTATCAATCGCCTTCATCGCCAAAAGTCGCTCGCATTTTCTTCTCGATTTCCCCTCCAACTGCCTTGCCTCAATCTCTTCCGGACTCAGCGATCCATCGTGAATCTTCACCTCATCATAGGGAAAGGGAGAGAAATACTAGAAACTACGGAAGGGAGAAGAGACCTTTTTGGAGGAGGTTGGGAAAGCTGAGAGAGGGAGGAGAACTTTGTTTGACTCATACAGAGGTGCACTTTGTGCTCTTCGAATACCTTTAAACACATTCTTTTGGTGCACTTAATTTCTCGCATTTCCCGTTAGAGTTATTAAGAAAGGAGTAAATCAGGAAGCTTAACTTTATAAAATAGGAATTCTAGTGAGAGAAGTTGAATCATTGACGTTAAAAATCTCTCAAAAGAGAAATGCGGAAGAGGGGAAAGGGAGAGGAAAGGGAGAGGGAAAATTTTTGTTTTTGCTTTACACTCGGTCTTACTAGATCTTTCTACATCAAAAATAGGTACCCTAAACTTTCTGACCTATTATCAACTATAAATTTCCAGATTTTGAAACCTAAACAATTCCAAACATCAAACAAACCTAAACTTAAACAATTCGAACATTAATTTACCTGTGCCAAAAGCTTTTTCTGTTCTTGGTGGTCTGTTCCGGACGTCCGAGTCTGACCACATTCATTCTCCTCTGAAACGGAGGTCCGACTCAGAAGACTCCTCTGAAACGTTTCGGAGGAGAAGGATCGTTCTTACGGAATCGGATGTCCGATCTTGAGAACAAATAATTTAAATGCAAAATCCAATGTTTTGAACAAAACACGCTTAAAAAACACGTTGAAGAGTTCTTTTTAAAGAGTTCGAATTGAATAGCTAAGTCGATATTTGCTCGTGTTTTCCTTCATTCATTCAATCGTTCATTCACTCATCTGCCCCATAAACACTCTCATGGGAGTAGTCGATGTAGAGGAAAAGATCCTCCTCGTGGTGATCCTAGAATCGGTTTAAAATTCTTTAGAATTGTATCTTTAGAAATGCAAATGTAAAATGTAGCCTTTGCTGAGTAAATTAGGAATTCTCGGACAGAAAACTGATTCGAATGAATGCGGACGTAAATTGTTCGACCTAGTTAAAAGTACTGTTAAAACCCCTAATACAGCTTTATAAGATGGTTTTATAAGACAAAGCCTTGCCTACAGACACTCAATTCTGAGTCTGTAAGGCTAAAAGGAAAGCCTTACAGACAAACAATCAATTTCGGCCAAAACTACCGTAATCTTCCCGCCAGTTTTACCCTCAATTAGCCTAATTTTGGTGAAAACTCTCTGAGGGAATCACAAGCCTCGAGTTAATCAAAACAAAATTGGGCTAATCGCAGAAGCTAAAGGTGGTTAGAAAACACTTTGCTATGAAGAAAAAATTGGTGTTTTAATCTTTGTCCGTGTTTTAACTTATTTGATTAACAAGTCCCATTCAGCTAATTAGTTAACGTTAGCCATTTAGTTTCAAATTCAAATTCAACAGTTTCAAATTTAACGACTTCTAGCCGATGTTTTGTCTTTCCTAATTAATGAAGATTTTTCTGTTCCCTCTTACCTGATAGAGTTGTCCCATGGTGGTTTGTTGGAATGACGTTGTTGACGAAGAAGAAGGGGCGTAAAGGAAAGATGACAGGTAAAGGTAAAGGTAGACGTAACATTTAAAAGTTATCAAAAACTAGCAACAAAGATAAAATAAAATAAAATTCACTAATTTAAAACCGATAACAGGTAAAGAGGATAACAGGTAAAGAGAATAATCCATAAATCACTGATTTCATGTGTTCGCTAAAATTCTTTGGTACACAAACTAATTTTGAGGC